CCTTCCTGGCTACTGGCCAATCAGTGTTTTATTAAACCAGTGTACAAAAGCATTATCCCACAGCATTTCCCCTTTTCTGTTTAATTAAAAAGGAAAGTTTTAACTTTAACATAGTAAAATTATATATAACAAAACAGTTATCAAGCCAGAATTACAGTTATAATATCTAGTCTATTTGTATTTGGCAAAATTAAAGAAAATATTCTATCTATCCTATATTTGTGAGTCCAAGGCCCCACAGTCCCACGCCATTTGTAGCTGGGGTTTTCTCCAGTCCTGCCCAGGCCCACAGCCACTCAGACCCAAATAAATACACAGAGGCTTATATTAATTAAAACTGCTTGACCATTAGCTCAGACTTACTACTGACTAGCTCTTGCACTTAAACCCAGCCCAGTTCTATTAATCTATGTGTCACCATGTGTTCCATGGCTTTAACTGTGTGCCATTACATGCTGCTCCCTGGATGGCAAGCTGGAATCTCCTGACTCTTCCTATTCCCAGAATTCTCCTTGTCTGCTTATTCTGTCTATACTTTCTTCCTATACTTCCTTCCTGGCTACTGGTCAATCATCATTTTTGTCTTTTTTTTTTTAAACCAGTGTACACAAACATTATCCCACAGCATTTTTCCATGAAGTTAAATGCAAGTAAATTGATTGTTCCACACTGTTAATAATTGACAGGTCACATATGATTTACATGTGCTGTTGGGCAGAGCCAAGGTGCCCCACAGCAGGTGAGAGAGTGAGAGACAGAGATGCCATGCAGACAGTGCTCAGTGAAGAGTTTTATTTGGTGGAGGGAAGAAAGTGAGGAAGAGAAAGGGGGAAAGAGAGAGAGATCGAGGTGGGGTGAGGGGTTCAAGTGGTGCACACCTCATGGGAGGAATGTGGAAGAGAGGAGAGAAAGAAAAAGATAAGAGAGAAATGGGTGGAGTCAGGGCATAGGGTGGAGCCAAAGGGTGAGATCAGAATATTAACAGCATTAACATGTTACTTGGGGTCTATAAAAGGGGGTCCTCTTTTTAAGATTTTATAAAAATACTCCAAGGGAGCCGGGCGGTGGTGGCGCACGCCTTTAATCCCAGCACTCAGGAGGCAGAGCCAGGCAAATCTCTGTGAGTTCGAGGCCAGCCTGGGCTACCAAGTGAGTTCCAGGAAAGGCGCAAAGCTACGCAGAGAAACCCTGTCTCGAAAAACCAAAAAAAAAAAAAAAATACTCCAAGGGTACTGCCTAAAGTTACCTCTTAAAATCCTATAGAGATTGTTTTTAATGCTTTTATCAATGACTTTTGAAAAGGACAAAAAGCATATTTACACACAAATTCCACATGTTCCACATGAAATATTATACCCACTCTGGGTTATACAGCTCAAATTAATATTCCTACCATTTCAGAAACAGCTTGTAGAATGATGTTAAAAAATGGATACATTCCTGGAAAAGCAATTGGAAAGAAATATCAAAGAAAATCACAGGCTCTACAGGTTGTCTAGCAGCAGGATGGAGCAGGAACTGGCTACCCAAATTTGGAATAGGGGCCACTGCCAGAAGCCCAACTGCTCTACCTTTCAAAAGGCTAACTAATAAGCCTGTATGGGTGGAGCAATGGCCCTAACTAAAGAAAAAGTACAGGAACTTGAGCAACCCACTAGTAAAAGAAAAGTTACATGTTAAGCACATTGCAGAAACTACTAGTCCTTGGAATTCTCCTGCATTTGCAGTTAAAAAAGAAATCTGAAAAAATGGAGAATATTAACTGATTTCAGAG